CTGGTGCTGGAGTCCCAGGGAATTCTGAAAGAGCTGCTCGTCTTCAGGATGCATTGGAATCCTGAAGAAGTGGGTTCTAATATCAGTGAGGGAATGCCCCAGCAGCCAGTTAGATGAACTCACCAACAAGAGTAGGGGCAAGCAGGCAAAAAGCCAAAGCTTCCTTCTTCTGTGTCCTTTTATGTGGGCTCCCTCCAGAAGGTGTGGCCCAAACTGAGGGTGGGTCTTCCCACCTCAAATGATCCAATCAAGAAAATCTCTCACAGATGTGCCTAGCTGTTTGGATTTTAGTTGATTCCAGATGTAATTAAGTTGACAACGAAGATTAGCCAGCATAAGACCAAAAACAGAACCGTCAATCTGATTCCCTTCCCCTTTCTATAAACTATATAAGAAGGGTTATTCATCTGCCCTCTGGGCCTGCTCTTTCCTCAGAGCCCCTGCTATGCCACTGTCTGTATGCTTCTAACCCTTTTAATAAATCTCTTACCCAAATAGCAACCTGCCTCAGTGTCCCCTTGGACTCCAAACCCAAAACTTTTCACAATAAACCTCACTTAGTCATTTGAGGTGAGGTCTACGGTTTGCGTTAATGTGCACGGCCTTATACAACAACCTTTCAAGTCCAGTGAGACTTCCCTGTCAGAGGAGAGGCATGGGAGCTAGAGGCTGAGGAACACGCAGCTTTCACAGGGGGTCTCCCACCTTGGTGTCTCCTGTGTGTGGTCCCATTGACCAGGCCATACCTCCTCACAGTGCCTTCTTTACTGGCTTGCCCTCGGTACTTGGACAAATGCTGGCTGTGTGCCAGATCAGTAGTTGTGAGTGATGGAACGGTGACTACCACTGGCAGCAAAACTCCAAAAGACTTGCCTGCACCTCTGCCTCTCTTGTCCTTCTGCCTTGCCAGGGCAAAGGGGAGTTCCATTAGCTTGACCAAACCTCGCTTCTGATGGGCCTTATTAGTATGCTGATGACGCTGCCTTTTTACCTCAGTGGCTTTCTTGGGTTAGCTGGTTGCTATGGGTCTGAGATGTCCTTCTGTTAACCATGGGATGATCCGGACAGGAACTCTGCACTCAGCAAACTTGAAATAAAGCTGAGCCAACTTGGTGAGTCCTACCCAAATCTCAGCACGCGCACACACATCTGAGGGGGGCAGAGAGAGAGTTGCATGACTGACCCATGGAAAAATGAGCAGTTTATCCAGCCTCCTCCTTTTTCCCTGCTGTTGTGGTGAGAAAGAGAATGAATAGCCTGCCTCACAAGTGTGAGGACCTAAGTTTGATTCCCAGAATGCCAAGTGGGACAAAACAATGGGGTGTGGTGTCATACCCTTGCAATCCCAGTTTGGGGAAGGTGGAGACAGATGGAACCCTGGTGCCCCCTGGCAGGCTGGCCTAGCCTACTTGGCCAGTTCCAGGCCAATGAGAGATTGTGTCAAAAAAAAAAAATCACACCTGAGTTTGCCTTCTGGCCTTTATACAAACAGGCACCCAAATGTACACCCACACTCACACACAACACAGAATGAAGTCAGGCGTCCCTTTAGAGGCTAGTGGCAAGGGATTGCTATCCTTACATTTCTAGAGGAGGGGCTCATGTCTGTGTCTGGAGCCAGCAGGGCAGGTCTATAGCTCCTGGGACACAGTAAGTAATTACACACATTTACAGCATGGAATTGAGTTAAGTTATAAATATAGAAACGGGAATCCCACAGGGACGTCTGAAAGAGGTCAACAGCAGGGAAGCATGCAGGTGGGAACAGGCAACCCACACTGAGTGGGAATGGGTAGAAATCCATCCCAGAACGGGCTCCAGAAGCAGAACTCGGAGCCTGGAGGAAAATTCCACCCACAGACACGAGCAAGGACGAAGAAGCTTCTCTCCTCCACCTGGTCTCTAGGCACACACGAGAAATTCCCCTGAGACAATGGAGCCCCAGACTCATAGGTTTCAGATTTGAAAAATCACACTCCTTCCACAATAAAGCAAGCTAAGAAACTAGCATTTTAAAAACATCAGTGACAGGCCAGTGGCTTGCCTGGATAACCTGATAAACACAAAGACTAAATCTGAATAGACATGACCTCATTTAAGCCCAAAAAGGATTCTCGGAGCCGCTATGAAGACAGGCTCACAAGGCAACAATACAAAAGCCACAATTAAGATCACTTACCATGCGTGAGAAACAGCAAATGTCACAAACAGAAGCATTAACCCACGAGAAGCAGACGAAAGGGCAGCCCGATGGTGGTTATAAGATGCTTTACAATTATTAAAGACACAAAGGAATTCAAAACAAAGAAGAGTTTTTTTGAACTTTTATTTTTACTTATGTGTATGCCTGTATGTCTGTGTATGTACATGCCACCGGAGAGCAGGTGCCCATGGAGGCCAGAAGAGGGAGCAGATCCCCTCAGAGCTGCCTACTATGGATGCTGGGGGAAAAAACAAACAAACAAACAAACAAACATACAAACAAACAAACAAACAAACCCGGGTCCTGTAAGAGTAGGAAGCGCCCTTAAGTGCTGAGCCACCTCTCCAGCCCCAACCTCCAACCCCAACAGGTATCTTCTGGATGAATACATCAATTTGGAGAAGAAAAACACAAATAGAATCTCACTAAATAAGCAACAGCAATACAGATGTATAATCTCAACACTTGGGAGGCTGAAGCAGGAGAGGGGGACTCTGAATCTTGTCATCAGCCAACACCCAGCTGAAGGTTCTTTTGTTCTTATCAGAAAGAAATTGTGGGTATGCAAGGGGAAAGTGCTATATATTTTCCTTATAAAGATAAGTGCATGCCCTCTGACCCACGCCTGCCTCTGAGCCTTCTCCAAACTCCCAGGTCCAGCTCTGGGAGTGCAGATCATGTGCTGCCTGATCTATGGTCTATGGCTCCTGGTCTATGCCCACTCCAGCGCCACCTCCACCCTTGGGCCAGCTCCAGTCTAGGAGCTGTCCTTGACTTAGCTCCAGTCACCTGGTGCGTACATAGACCAGGCAAACAAACATGCACACACGCGCACGCGCGCGCGCGCACACACACACACACACACACACACACACACACACACACACACACACACGAGAGAGAGAGAGAGAGAGAGAGAGAGAGAGAGAGAGAGAGAAATCTTTTTTAAAAGAAAGAAATAAGGAAGACAGACAGAGATGGATTCTCAAACTCCAGAATATGTAGTAGATGAGGCTTTGTATCCTGAACCGATGGGATGAGCCATTTGTGAAGGGGGCTGAGCTGGAGAAGCACAGAGACCTCATGCAGTACCAGGCTATAGGAAAGAAGAACAGGAAGTTCCCATGATCAGGACTTTAAAAACCACCATCCCACGCCCAATCAGCACGCAAGGCGTTTTTTGTGTTTTCTCAATCCTGTGGTCCTATCCCTTTCTGCGGAACGGAATATTAAAAAGCTGCTTCACCTTTGATAGTCTCTTTAATTGATTTCAAAATGAAGGTCTTGCTCCTCACGGTTTCTCAGCTTCCACAGAACTCAGACTCATCCGATCTGCCCCTGTGTCCCACAGCCTCACGGTCCAAAAGGGAGAGCTTTTTCATTTCTTACTTGAAAGACCTTCCCAACTCAAGCAGTTCAAAGGTAGAATACTCCCTGATTATTGTGATTTTCTGTACTGGGTCATTCATTAGTAAGGCCCCATCTGCATGTTGAATCATGATTTTTTTTTCACCTTCCTCTCTATTAAAAGTTGCACCTGAGGTTTCTTTTGCCGCTTTTACCTCAACCTCATTTTTTTCACCATCCAACTCCTCTCATGGGTTCCAAGTTTTTGGATCTCATGAAGGGATCTTTAAAACAGATCTAACTTGTGCCCTCTTTTTCTCTTGGCATCCCAGCTGTGAGAAACAGCCATCTGGTACAGCTATCTCATTTCCTTCTTTATCCAATTTAACCGTGACATCTGAGACCTAAGCGGAGGATGCTAGCCGCATCTCTGTTTCTCCTTGGAATTTTTTCTTTATACAAACAAGTTCCTGCTGAGCAGCCACCCAGGCCTCAGATATACTATGAAGGGAAACTGAGGCAGGGAAACCTCTGTGAAACAGGTATCAGAAACAGAGTGATCCCAGCACCTGGGAGGCAGAGCCAGGCGGATCTCTGTGAGTTCGAGGCTAGCCTGGTCTACAGAGCTAGTCCAGGAAAGGCGCAAAACTACACAGAGAAACCCTGTCTCGGAAAAAAAAAAAAAAAAAAAAAGAAACAAAGAAAGAAAGAAAGAAAAAGAAACAGAGCGGATTTCAGAAGAAATTATTATGTATGGATTTGGTGAAGTGGCCTCTGTAACCATGTGCAACCACACAGCAGTTCGGACAGTATTTAAAGGGTTCTCAGCATCGTTTTAAATGATTCCGTCACCAGTAGGCTTGAGTAGCGATTAGCCTTCATGGGTCTGTGCAACTAAGATAAAGCAACAAGAGATTCTCCTCTTGTGTCGAGGTGTGTTTACAGAAGCCGATGAGGAGGGCAGAGGCTAAGATGGTTTCCTTTAAAATGGGGTAATTGCATACAGGTGTTTAACCAGATAACCATACATAACATCTCCTCCAGGTGGGCTCTGGGGCCCTGTTCCCCCTAGTGTTTTTGTTCTGACTTTATTTCCCACCTCAGTATCTCTTAGTGCATACGGCAGTGGCCATGAAGCCTCTTCAGCAGCTTGCCCACACTCTCATTCCTTCTGGGCTACTTTTGAGAGCTAGTAAAATTTGTTCTAAACCTTCAGCCTTTCTCGAGGCATCTCCATACTCATCCAGCGGACCCCTCTCATCAAGCAGGTGTGCAGTTCCATACCTTATAGACAAAGACTGCCACCCTGGAATTTTCCGGACCGGAACTCCAGCTCCCAGTGGTTCAGATTTAATTATGTGTCTCACTACCCATAGCAAGATCCAGGCAATCGCCACCATAGCAAAAGACACATCACACACCAGGTCGGGAAGAGTGGCTTTATAAGGATTTCCCCCTTGGATGCTTCACCCTCAGGCTGTTCACCCAGAGCCAGGACCATGCAATTGTTCTTCCCAAACTCATTTAATTGTTCTTCCCAAACTCACCTTTGCGTCTGTCTTGCCACACACTGGGTACCAGTTTGTTGGGTTAACATTTTCTGAGGGGATGCAAGTGAATGTCCAGTCACCCAGATGGGCACCAGTGACAAACCTAAGTATGGTTTCACTGAAGTCCAACTTGGTGAGATCAATGGTTTTATTGGGCCTTCTTACAGAGCAAGGGGTTACTTCACAGGGATGTGAATGATCCTCTTCAACTAGCTACATCACTGCAGAATCCCACCCCTTTACAGATGGCAACCTCATAGAAGCTGCATTATGGAACTCCATTTTTTGTTTTGTTTGTTTGTTTGTTTTGAGACAGGGTTTCTCTGTGTAGTTTTTTGGTGCCTGTCCTGGATCTCGCTCTGTAGACCAGGCTGGCCTTGAACTCACAGAGATCCACCTGGCTCTGCCTCCCGAGTGCTGGGATTAAAGGCATGCGCCACCGCCGCACGGCAGAACTCCATTTTTAATCAACCTTGCACTTCTCTATGTAATTTAGCATCTTCCAAGATCACTCGCAGCTGGAGTAGAGGGGGCAGGAGTAACATCTGGATCCCTATCTGGTTTCCTGGCCTCCCTAGGGACTATCCATAACTCCCTTCCTTTACAAAAGATCTGGCTACCACTGTTCTGTTCTGATCTAGTCTTCATGGCTACAAGACTATGTCTAAAGCTCACATCAGATTATGACCAGAGGAAAAAGCACCATACAACGCAGGCCTAAAGGTACTCATAAATGGATAGATCCCTTCGATAACTCTGTGTGTGTGTGTGTGTGTGTGTGTGTGTGTGTGTGTGTGTGTGTGTGTGTCAGTTACTCTTCATTTGCTGCCACAAAATACCTGCAAAAACAATTTAAAGACAGGGGGTTTGTTATGTCTCACAGTCACAAGGCACAGTCCATCACAGCAGCCGCAGAATGAGGCGGCAAGAGTGTTAGGCAACTAACTGGTCACTCTGCATGCGAGTCAAGAAGCAGAAAGACGAATGCTGGCACTCAACTTTCTTCCTCCATTTTATCCAGTCCAGGACCCCCAGCCCAGGGAGTGACGCTGCCCAGAATTAGGGTGGACCTTCCCACCTCCATGAACCTAATCTATAAACAGACACACAGACATGCCAAGAGAATTGTTTCCCCTGGGGGGTATAAATCCGGTCAAGTTTATATGCAGATTAGTTTCTGTCAAAGTTGACACAGACTGGAGTCACCTGGGGAGAGGGGACCTCAGTTGAGGAACTGCCTCCATCAGCTTGGCCTACCGGCATGTCCGTGGGGCAGTTTCTTGATTCATGATGGATGTGGGAGGGCTCAGTCCCTTGCAGGAAATGTCACCCCTTGTATGGACAGGCAGCCCTGTCTAATTGCATAAGAAAGCATGGTGGCCAAGCCAGGGAGAGCAAGTCAGTAAGCAGCAGTCCTCCGTGTTCTTTGCTTCTGCATTCCTACCCTGGCCTTTCCTCAATTATGGACTGTAACTTGCAAGCCAGATAAACACTATCTTCCCCCAACTTGCTTTCCTGCCAGGGTCTTATCACAGCATTGGACAGAAAACTAAAACAGTTGATAATGGGGCTAAGCATCATAGTCTGGGTGGGTGTCCCCTTCCTACCCACATTCAGTCCTGGCCAGGCCTAGTTACATACACAGAAGACAAGAGGGGCTTCAAATCCCACAGGAAATATTCTGCAGGGGGAGGGGGTATTCTCTAAAGGAGGGAACAACCACACTAGACCTGAACCCTGAAAAAGAAATGCCACTAACAAAGGGGAAGTATCACAAGTGTCACCAGTTTACATCACCAGTTTACATCTCAGGATCTTTAAGGCAGCATGTCTTCTTGGAGGAGGACTCTCTCATGATTTCCTTGAATCACTGTCTTAGAGTTTTTATTGCTGTGAAGAGACACCATGACCACAGCAACTCTTATAAATGAAAATATTTAATTGGGGTGGCTCACTTACAGTTCAGAGGTTCAGTCTATTATCATCATGGCAGGCAGACATGGTGCTGGAGAAGTAGCTGAGAATCCTACATCTTGTAGGCAAAAGGAAATCAACTGAAACTCTGGGTAGTATCCTGAGCATAGGAAGCCTCAAAGCCCACCCCCACAGTGACAAACTTCCTCTAATAAGGCCACACCCACTCCAACAAAGCCACACCTCCTAATAGTGCCACTCCCTATGAGATTATGGGGGCCAATTACATTCAAACTACCACAGACACCAATATGGCTCACTTCTTTGTGGAGAGCGGAGGAAGACTGAGTGTGTGAACCCTGAGTGGAAGTGTGTTGTTGTTGACATGAGCTGGCCATGCTAAGGGCCCTAGCCTCAGACCCATGGAAAAATGGCAAAGCTTATCCCCCAGGATGAGGATCTGAAGGATGCCAAAAAGCCTTCCTCTGGCCCATGTGTGTATGTTGATGGTATGTGCAGAAAATGTCCACCTTTCTGTCTGCCGATATTCACCGCCTGAAGACAGCTCTACTACAGAGACTGCTCCTGCTGATATAAGCCAAGCTGCCTCCTTGATCCAGCTGTACACTGTAACCTCACCTCCATGTTCAATGCTACATAATAACCCCACCGTTCGAGTCTATATAATAAATACGCTGAGGTTCCAGGGTGCTGAGGTTTCTCCCTCAGAGATCTGTTCCCCCAGTCCCAGCCTTTTTTCTGTGTCTGCGTGTTGGTCTTTTTTTCCATTCCCCTCCACACCCTAGTCAGGTCCATCCCGGGAGCCATGTTGGATGTGGCACATCTCCATGTCCAGAGGGTCCTGGTTGTGAGTGCAATCAGTCAGTCTGGCTGGTACGCAAGTGATTGAAGGAATTAGTCTCACATGTGGCTGAGCAGGGGCTCAGCCTTCCTGTCACACACATCCGTAGGGCCGGCCACACCCTCAGGCTTCCTCGGCAAGTCACATATGGGATTTACCCACCAACCTTCTTTCTTTTTTATTTTACTTTATTTTCACAAATGCTAAGCATTTGTTTCTTATTAATCTACACTCAAATCATTAAAAACATGTTTTCCAAGAATTTTAACATGCAGAAGGCTTTTTTAAAAAACTTCTTATAAGTCATTTTAGTACCCTTTTCTCAAGGCAGAGGAAAAATGAGGTTTTGCCAAGAATAAACTCATCACTGCAATTTCAGTGCAGCTTTTAGCTCCAGGCTCATTAACTCTGGCAGGATTTGGATCGAATGAGAAAAGAAATTCCCCTCAGCCACAAGTCTCCAAGTAGCAGCTCAAGATTTTGAACAGCACAACCTTCCCACACACATAAAGCCAAGCTAAACTGGGGAATGGAGCAAGAAAAACATCCACGAGCTTGCCCTCTGTGACACTCAGGGGCCCCCACAGAACCACCAAGGATCTTTCCAGTCTCAAATAAAAGATGTCAGCCGGGGCACCTTAGCAGCCTACGTAACCGCCAGCCTTTGAGGAATAAATATCTGTCTTAGAGACATGCTTAGCCAGGCAGTGCCAATCAGAGGGTCATCTGGGCCCACTGCAAGGTAGAGGCAGAGTGGTAGCAAGCCAGTAGTAGCAAAGATGGAATATGTCATCCAACCAGGACCTGTCCCAGTGACAGACAGAGGGTGAAAGGCGGGTGAGGACTTTGCAGGTACAGATGGGCATCAAACTGAGCTTGGTTGTCTCTGGTTTGTATAGACTAGGTTTTATGGAAAGCATGCTTGTGCCTCCCTTCACCCCCCAATTTTAAGTTGAAGTGCCACCCCTCCATATGCTGTCATGGAGAGGGAGGGATTTGGTCGTTAGCCGGAGTCAGGGAGTCAAGGGAAGACACATGGATGCGACCTTCACAAGAAGAGACCCTAAACTGGGTGTGAGAGTGCACACCTGTAACCCCAGAACCTGGAGGCTAAAGAAGGAGGATTTGGGTTTGAAAGCAGCCTGGGCTACCAGAGAGAGAGAGAGAGATCAGGCTTCCCGATCTATCTTCCCAACCTCCTGAACTTGTGAAAATGTGTTTCTGTTGTTTGAGCTGCCCATTCTATGAGACTATTTTTGAGGCAGACAAAGTAGAGAGTCTGTGTGTTTATTCCGGCAAGGATACCCCAAAGTCTCAGAGTTTGGAAGGAAGTGGGGGGAAAAATCCCTTAGGATGAGGCCAGTAAGCCGTGCTCCATGCCGGGTGGAACATGATCGCAGGAGGAAATCCCTCATCTACGGCAGGCTTGAGGTCTGTTCAGTTTCCTGTCCTTCCCCTCAGGCTCTCTGCACTCTATCCAGCAATGGTGCCTTCCTACCCACCCTGCGATTCCTCATAGCCTGCTCAGGATTTGGGGCTAGAGGCCTTCACAAAGCAGTTTCCAGGAACCGAATGTGATGGTTGATATCGATATCAACTTGATAGGCTCTAGGATCTCCTAGGAAACAAGCCATGTCTGTAAAGGAACTTCTGGACTGGGTTCGTGGAGGGGGCAAGACACGCCCTAAGTGTGTGCCATCATTCCACGGGTTAGGGTCCTGGGCTGACTAAAAGGGAGAAAGTGAGCTGAGCACCAGCATCCATCTCTGTCTGCTTTGTGATTGCAGATGCAGTGTGGCCGTCACCTCACGCTCCTTCCACCATGATGGACTGTGTCCTCAAATCTGTGAGCCATCACCACACACCCGCTTAAGTTGTCTTTGCTGGGAACATTGCTTCACAGCACTGAGAAATCTGGGTCTCTTCCCTGTGCCATTTGGGCTTCTTCAGACCATCCCTGGCGGGTTTCCTCAGCACTCACTCCAAATCCCTGTGAGTGTGGAGGCCTGGATCAGTCCCTGAAGGCCAACTCTGTGGTTCTGAGACTCTGTGGTGTGGACAAGGGCCATCAGTGTTTCTGGTCGTGTAGAAGTTGAAAAGCCTTTGGAGCCACAGTGACCTGACTTCCAGGCCCAGCTCTGACACGTGTGGGCTGTGTGACCTTAGGCATGTGGTTCAGCCTTGCTAAGCTTTGATGTCTCAGACTCATATCACATTGGGAGAAATGTCTGGACTTGTATTCTTACTGTGGCATTAATATTCTATTTTTGCATGATAAATGTCCTAGTCCATGCTATATCTGAAAATTTCCTCATTGCCTTACTGCACAAAATAGATATTTAGAATGAGTATTATTGATTTGTTGTTGTTTTGTGTGTGTTTGGGGAAATGTATGTACAGGTGTGAGAGGTCCCCAAGTGTCACCCACCTTTTTCTCTCTGTTTGAGACAGAATCTCATTAGGTAGTCCTGGATGCCCTGTAACTCGTTAGGTAGACCAGGCTGACCTCAAAGTCACAGGGATCTGCCTGCCTCTACTTCTCTGTTGTGGGGCAGATCTTTCTTGAGAATGGGAACACAAGACAGACCAAAGCAGCAACTGCAGCAAAGTCCAACGTGGTGAACCAGTGGGTTTCCTGGAGTTCCTTCCTGATGGAAGTCTTGGTGAGGGGTTACTTACAAAGACAGAGCAGGAGGATTCCAAAGCAGCTACATCACCAAAGAGCCCACCCACTGTGGTCATGGCTCAGAAAAGCTGCAACCCTGTAGCTCTGCACAGCTTGCAGGCAGCTGATGGTCCAAGCGTCTCCCCTCTCTGCAGACGGACTGGTCAGAGTCTCCTCCCCTTGGCAATCCTTTCCATACTGCTGGGAAGGGGCCTAGAGAATCTTCCAAGTTTCTGTTCTTCCAGACATGTGACCTTCCGTCCACCTCCTGAGTCCTTCCTGGAAGAAATGCTTCAATTCAGAGAAAAATGCCATACAACACTCCTGAGATTAAAGGGGTGTGCCCGTTGCTGGCTCTGAGACTTATTTTCATTGTTATTCACGTGTATGTGTGCACCTGTGAGTGTATGCCACATGTGTGCAGGTACCTGAGGAGGCCAGGAGGCTGTGAGCTCCCTGAGGTAGGTGCTGAGAGCCAAACACTGGTCCTCTAGCCCAGTGGTTTTCAACCTTCCTAATGCTGTGACCCTTTAATACAGTTCTTCATGGTGTGGTGACCCCCAACCATAAAATCATTTTGTTGCTACTTCATAATTGTAATTTTACCACTGTTTATGAATCATAATGTAAATATCTGATACATGACCCCAAAGGGGTCACGACCCATGTGTTGAGAACCACTTCTCTAGAAGAACAGCAAGTACTCTTAGGAGGTAAGCTGTCTCTTCAGCTCAACATCCACTTTTTCGAGACAAGGTCTCATTGAATGGACTTCATCAGGTAGGTGAGGCTATCTGGTAGCAAAACCCAGGACCCACCTGTTTCCACCTCTCCAGGACTGGTATTACAAGCCTGTGCCACCAAATCTGGTGGGTTTTCTTATTGTTGTTGGTGGTGTTGCTGCTGCTGCTGCTGCTGCTGCTGCTGCTGCTGCTGCTGCTGCTGCTGTTTTACATAAATTCTAGGTTCAAACTCTTGTTCTCGTGCTTGAAAAGTAAGTGCTTTGCCCACTGAATCATCGTCCCAGCCCCTTATTAATGAATCTTTCTAATTTAAAGGCTTCTCTCATTTCTTTGATCACCTGTATTCAATGAGAAGCCTGAAGTCAGCTTGTGCATGAGAAATGTTTTCTTTGCTTAGGTTTGAGCCTTTGATCAGTATTCTGAAATCTCAAGATAGATTGATAACCAGGTATGGAAAATGTTTTGTTGTTCATATGTTTCTTTTTTTAAGATTATTTATTTATTATATATACAACATTCTGCCTCTATGTACGCCTGCATGCCAGACCTCTCTTACCTCATTACAGATGGTTGTGAGCCACCATGTGGTTGCTGGAATTGAACTCAGGACCTCTGGAACAGCAGGCAGTGCTCTTAACCTCTGAGCCATCTCTCCAGCCCCCATTCATATGTTTTTGTCTTGATTGATATTTTCTTCACTCTTTCAACCCAAAGACTCGAGTCCCTTTTTATATTCTGCAGGACTCTGATTGATTGGTGATTGATTGATTGATTGATTGATTGTTGAGTGGTTGGTCAATTCTGTGTAGGAACATGCATGTGCAGATGTGCACATGTGCATACATTATGCTGAGGCCAGAAGACAATGTCAGGGGTCTTTTTAAAGCCCCACCCACCTTGATTTGAAACCAGGTCAATCATTGGCCAAGTAGGCTAGGCAGGCACTGCCAATCAGCAGGCCCCAGAGCTCCATTTGTCCCCACTTCCCTAGTGAGGAGATTACAAGCATGTGACGCCACATCTAGCTTTTTTCTGAGGATCAGACTCAGGCTTATATGTCAAGTACCTTAGCTACCTCCCCATTGCCTTCCTTCTTTATGTTCTTTACCTCTGGAAGATCCACATAAAGGAATTCTTGAACTTCAGAATGCATCTCCTTATGCTGCCAGACACCACCATATGCAGCACTCAGGACACCTATTTATTTTGTATAGATACATGTATGTGCCTGATTTTGTGTCTATGAACCATGTTCATGTAGGAGCCTGTGGAAATCAGAAGAAGGCACTGGATCCCCTGGAACTGGAGTTATGGGGTAGCTGTGAACCATCATATGGGTGCTGGGAATCAAACCCAGATCTTCTGTAAAAGCAGTAAGTATTCCTAACCAATGACCACCCTTTCTAGTCCTTTCAGCTTTTTTAAAAACTATTTTTATGTGTCAGAAGTGGAGTATGTGCACATGAGAGCAGGTGCCCCCAGAGGCCAAAAGCATCAGATCCCCTGGAGATGGAGTTACAGGCAGCTGTGAGCTTCCCAACATGGGTGCTAGGAACAGAACTCGGGTTCTCTGCAAGAGCAATATCTGCTCTTACCTGCTGAGCCCTCTCTCTAGCCTCCAGCCTGATCTTGTCATCACAAAGTTCTCTTCTGCTTGGCCTCTCCTACTAATTCAACTACATATTAAATTCTTCATTGCCAAGGTCTCTTAATTCATCCTTTTCCACAACCCCCTAATCTTGTCTCCTGGTTATGATACTCTCTTCTATCTCCAGGAATAGTTCTTATTCAAGTTCTCATCTTTTCTACTTCATCTTCCAGAAGTGGGTTTTTTATTCCTGTATTCACTTCCGTGATGGTTGGTGTTGACAGTCAGCTTGACAGAACCTACTATCACCAAGACAGGAGCCCCTGGGTGTGTTTATGAGAGGGTTTCTAGTTTTAGGTTAATTGAGATGAGAACACACACCCTGCTGTAGATGGTGAGCCTGGATTGGATAAGAAAGCAAGCCAGGAAACAGCTTGACTCCGTGGTTTCTGTCTCTATTCCTGCTTGAGTTCCTTCCCTGACTTCTTCCGATGAATTGTGATTGGGACCTGTGAGCCAAACAGACCCTTTCCTTACCAATTTGCTTTTTGCTGTGGTATTTATCATCACAATAAGAGAAAAACAAATTAGAACAGAAATCGGTACCCTCGTGTGGAATATTGCTATGATGGACATGACCATGTTGTTTTTAAGGATTATTATGCAAACACTTTGGAACTTGGGGCTGGAGAACCCATTAAGTCCTGGCTTGTGAAGTTTCAAAAGTAGCGAGGATACTTTGGGGGCCGTTTGTGTGATATGGGGCTGAAGAATCAGCACCACTGAAGTGAAAGCTTTGCTTTACTGGGGTAATGGATGCTGGTTAACTGGTTTTAAAGTCATGGAAGCCTTTAGGATTGGAGAGGCCGTGGGAGAAGCTGAGGCTTGGCACCATGTAGAGGGACTGAAGTTCATAAAGAGGGGCCATAGGTAGAGATACAGCCTCATTTACAGTGGAGATCCCATAATACTGGAGCTGCTGGGTATGGTATGGAGCCAGCCTGAGCTTACAAGACAAGATATTTGTGCTGCAGATGGCAGAGCCAGAGAGGTGGAGCTGTCTGAGCCCTTTGGAGCACAGAAAATTTTGAATGAGTCCCAGACATTGGACTCTGAGCTATATACAATGTTCAACTTCAGTTTGGCTTCAAATATAATTATGCCTTGTTTCTTCTCTCTTGGAATAATAAAACATATAATCTGCTTTTGATTTTTAAAGGAACCTAAAGTTAAGAGACTTTGATTTTTTTAATGAACTCTTAAATATTGACTTTTTTTTTTTTTTTTTTTTTTTTTTTTTTTTTTTTTTTTTTTTGGTTTTTCGAGACAGGGTTTCTCTGTGTAGCTTTGCGCCTTTCCTGGAACTCACTTGGTAGTCCAGGCTGGCCTCGAACTCACAGAGATCCGCCTGGCTCTGCCTCCCGAGTGCTGGGATTAAAGGCGTGCGCCACCACCGCCCGGCTAAATATTGACATTTTTAAAGACCATACAACTTTGAAAACTTGGGCTGTGTTTTATATTGTGATATTAACATACGATCTCGGTAGAGAGAAATGAAAAGGCTTTACAGTGATGTATTCGTGTGTCAGGCTGTCAAGGAGTCAGCTGGGCTGGTTAGTTTTTGTCAACTTGACACAAATTAGAGTCACTTGGGGAGAGGAAACCTCAATTCAGGAACTACCTCGATCAGATTGGTCTGTGGTCACATCTCCGGAGCACTTTCTTAATTAATGATTGATATGGGAAGGTCAGACAATTCTGGGGGGGGGTGCTACTCCTAGACAGGTGGCCCCAGATTGTATAATAAAGCAGACAGAGCAAGCCATGAGGAAGAAACCAGAAAGATGCTTTCCTCCATGGCTCCTACCTCCAGGTTCCTACTGGAGTTCCTGCCCTGACTTCTCTCAGTGACGGACTGTGCTCAGGATGTGTAAGCCAAATAAGCCCTCTCCTCCCTAAGCTATTCTTGGTCACAGTGTTTACCACAGCAACAGAAAGCAAACTGGGACACACAGGTAAATAATGTCTGTAGCAGGTATCACTCAGCGCCTCACTCTCTCCATTTTCTGTTGCTGTAATCACATATCTGTCCAGGCACCGGCTTCTGAAGCCTAGCAGTTCAAGATAGTAGAGCTGTTGGTGGTGATGACCTTCCTGCTGTATCATCCCATGCCTGGACACACGACGTGGCATAAGCGTGAGTGTACTAGCTTAGACCCCTCCTCCTCCTCCTCCTCCTGCCACTTCTGCTTCTTCCTCTTTCCCTTCCTCTTCCTCTGCTTCCCTTCTCACTTCCACTTCCTCTTCCTCTGCTTCTGCTTCTTCATAACTTCATAACTGCTTCCATAACTGAAGAAAAAAAAAAGCCCCTCATTGCAGAGCTGGGGAGATATGGGTCATATGGCAATGTGATTGGTCATACAAACATAAGGACCTGAGTTCAATCTAGAACCCATGTTAAAAAGCCAGGCATGGCGGCATGTGCTTGTAATCGCAGTTCTGGGGAAGAGGAGACAGACAGACCCCTGAAGCTCACTGGCCAATCAGAACAACCAAATCACTGAATTCCAAGCCAACAATGTGAGGTCTTGTCTCCAAAAACAAGATGGGCAGAGTCTACGTAACAACAGCAGACACTGATACCTGGCTTCCACACACACACACACACACACACACACACAACCATATATGTACCCTCCCACACATGCAGTCACACCCAAACCAACATCCACGAACACCTACACATACCACATCCACACAGTAAAGTTCTTAACCCCATCCTGGAGGTCACCCCCATGGACCTCAGTTAACCCTGATTACCTCTGAAGGGCCTGGTCTCCAAGTACCGTCAACACAGCATTTGCGATGAAGTCTCTAACGCAAGAACTTTTTACAGGAAATGGTCAGATTGCAGCAATATCGTAGACTCTTCCCCCACAACATGTGGC